GATGACTTGCTTTCCTCTCGACTGTATCAAAACAAGATTCTTCATGGAGCCTTCATCACACTGGAACATTTCCACTGTGAAATCTATCAGACTGCATATTGTATCAGTGTATGCCATTATGTTTAATGTGTTTAGAGTTTGGTTGTTCCATCTTGTTCCAGTCCTTTAGCATAAAATATATTTCTGCATTTTTAGGCACATGCAGATTTTTTATGGATCAGAGCATGGCCTGATAATGTCCGATTCTAGATGTTAATAGCCATATTTATTTTTCTTTTGGTAAGGTAGATTCTTGTAATTATTAGGCATTATGTTTTGTTTTTTCAGTGATTTTCTTTTTTAATTTTTTTTTAAATTTTTTTATACTAATCAGAATATGACTTGCTTATTTTTCAGACGGAGAGAAAACAGATTACCAGAAACGAGCAGAACTCCAGCGAAATGTAAAAACTCAACGTACTTCGATATGTGGATCAAGCAACACTCAATGAAATAGATATGCTTATACTACTGGTGGCCATTGAATTACCTCTACTGAGGATTATTATAATGCCTGTTTGGCAATGTGCCATCATCTGTAATCAGAAAGAGAATTGCATTTGTTTCCATAGAGATTGCTGCATGCTTATAACTTTGCCCCAAAGTTCAAAACGTGATGCATCTTCATGGAATGCAATAGAATGTTCGCACACGTTTTCAATAGTATTTCATCACACAAATAATTTTTGTAGATATGCCCTGGTGTATTTAAAGATAAAGTGCAAAGATATCTTGCTGAGCATAACAATTCACCTGTCAGTGTTGCTTTCCTGATATGGGACCGAATACAGGTTGTTGGCTTCCAAATTCCATTCTGATTCCCGTGCATCAGCACAGACCCTTTTCATTCTGTTAACAGTCGCATAGTGAGAGGAATATTTTTACTGAAGTTACATAGTCCACAGACTTTCAATCTCAAAGATTAAAAGTGATATTTTTTTTATTAAAATGTGTTCCTCCTACATTTCACTTGTATAGAGTAGAAAAATGTTTTAACACCTTGGTGATCAACGATATTTAATATCCCAATCACAATTTGTCCCTAAAGGCCCTATACCAAGAGGTTAGAAAAAATAGAATCTGAATTAAATGAACACTATAGAATTAGGAATACAAAAATGTATTCCTAACGCTATAGAGCCCTAGTCACTGTTTAGTTGACTAGGGCCCCGTTCCGCGATGAATAAATGGTTAACCATTTATTTGCTCACCTTAAACCAGCGCCGGGCTCCTTTTAGCACTGGTGACCTTTACTCCTCCATCAATGTCAGCTCCCGAGTGGAGCCGAATGCTCATGCACGGCCAGAGGCGTGCGCACATTCAAACCCACCCATAGGAAAGCATTAGTCAATGCTTTCCTACGGGGATCTTATTTGACGGTGTACTCTGTGAGGACGTCCAGCGTCAAATAAGTGCAATTTACTCTGTGTAAATTGCGGTAGTAGCCTCTAGTGGCTGTCAGAGAGACGGCCACTAGAGGCTGGATTAACCCTGCAGTGTAAACATAGCCGTTTCTCTGAAACGGCTATGTTTTCAGCTGCAGGGTAAAAATTAGGGGGACCTGGCACCCAGACCACTTCATTGAGCTGAAGGGGTCTGGGTGCCGATAGTGGTCCTCTAAGCCAAGGGCCATTGCCATGTAAGTGCATAATTATGTCCTTTTTAAATGTACCCTTGTTTTTCAGAATTACATTTGAGTTTGGTATGAATATTTAGAATAATTAGAAGAAAAAAAAAAACGCAACCTGAAAACAGTTGTCCATCTGTTCAATGCCTGAGGCTAGTCTATCCATACTATATCCATGCTGTCTCTAGGGACGTATCTCAGTGCTATTTGGAAGCATAATTAAACTAAGAGGCATTTTACTTGGAAAATACAAGGTGGCTGTTTAAGAAATGCCCCCCAATACCTCTCACACTTCACACCGTGGCAGAGTTGTATAAGGTCAGGATCTTGCTAAAACGAAAGGAAGTGAGCTTCTGAGATTATGGAACTGTGAAAATTATTTCACATATTATGAGCATATATTAAAATGGACATGATATCTTCATATATGTGAATAGTAAGGTTAAAAAAATCTTTAAACTAATACTGAAGCCATCAAACATATTTAGACTAAACGTTTTACTAACATGTTTAATTTTTCATATAAAATGTTCCAACACTGAAATACATTCCATCTAGCATTAGAGGCGCACTTTACCATAACTACTACAGTAAGGGCCGCTCTAACAAAACTACTACAATGTGCTGTAGTTGTTATGTTATCTAGAGTGCCCTGGCGCTGGCCCCTGGTTGAATGTCAAGCTATTTTGGAATGGTTTGACCCAAATCGTGAGACTTGTCATTACCCATGGTTCCACCCAATCATGGCTGCATTGATAAAGTAACACAACCACATCATCAATGTCTCATGCTTCCGACCTGGGCAATATTAACCTTCTGACAGTGCTGCGCTAACCCATCCCCAGCACTGTCATCCAATCTGTGTTATTCAGGTTGGTAATAAATTTACAATTTGTTATCAATGTGGAAGCATTTTTTATTTCAAACCATTCCTAAATGGTACAATATTGAATTGAGGGACAGCGCCAGGACACTTTAGGCAATATAACTATTAATTGGGACATTGAGTAAAGTATTGGCTGTAACGACACAGAAATCTGGACATGTTCTGTCTCCATTGTATGAAACCTGGGATGTCACAGGAGGGTATTTAGGGGGTTGCTTAGTTCATATGATTAATTCAATGAGATTTTAAAGATGTTAAACATATGGTGGTCTAATGTAAATGGCATAGTGTCAACATTCTATGATGGTATGCATATAATATTTCACATAATTTATTGCTTTTAGCCTCATTAACCCTTTGACTAAAGTGGGTTAATACAATCCATAACAATACGTTGTTTAGCCTATGGGATTCAGTTGGTTTATATTAGACAGATCTTTGTTTTTTGCACAAATTGACCTGCTGCATATTTTAGTTGGATCCCTTTAAACCCTGATGAAATGTGTATTACGTAACAACTCTTTACATTGAGATTGGAGAGGGCCGACATGCTGCTATTCACTTAATAATATGCATGATTATACCATTTGCACAGACCTAAAATTATGAAACTGTGTATATATTACAAAACAAGACATGCTTTCTGCCAGGACTACCTGCTGTATATAATCTGTTTAAATTTCTTAAAACACAAATATGTAAATTTGCTCACATGTAATATAATACTGTCCTAAAATGCCTAATTATGTACATGCTATATAATACGATTGCTTGATGTACCAGTGATGGAAGTATTCCGTCATGACAGTCCGCGCCAAGAGGACCCATGACTGAATAATTCCGTCATGTACTAAAATTAATGCCAGATTGCGGCGATCGTGGGGTTAATGCTATTACGGTGTGCCTCAATGCCTGAGGCAGATCAGCAATGGCAAATGGTCTGGTCCCAGTACATGTGATCTCTGTGACAGCCAATCACAGTGATGCTGGGATATCTTGACCGCCTCATTCCACCTCGATGTGAGCTGTGAAGTGGAGAGACAGATCAGAGACTAACTTTGTGTGCTGATACTTAAAATTAATTTTAGCCCTCTAATCCCAAATTTAATTTACTTTGTTTGTTTTATCCTAAGGTGTTACATTTGTATTTTTATTTTATTTTATCAATTTTAAATTGGTGAATTAGTTGCCTTGTGTAACATATGTATGTAGATACTAGATAATCTAATTGTTTTAATGTTCATTCATGTTCATTTAAATTAGAAGGGCAAAGGTTTAAAAATATCAGGAAGTATTACTTTACTGAGAGGGTAGTAGATGCATGAAATAGCCTTCCAGCTGAAGTGTTAGAGGTTAACACAGTGAAGGCATTCGTGGGATAGGCTATCCTAGATATTAGATAATGCCAGGGACTAATAAGAGTATTTAATAAAGTGGACAGACTAGATGGGCCGACTGGTTCTTATCTGCCGTCACATTCTATGTTTCTATTTGATAAAGACAGCTCCTTTCTGCTACTGCACAGTGTTACTTTCATAAACTACATTCGTAGGGATATATGTGTAAGAAAAACTAAAAAAGCCAATTAATACTGAATCAGTATGCCGAATGTATCCGTTTTGTCCCAGTCAAGTTTCACAATAGATTATAAATTACATTGTGCAAATTAGTAGACTTCTGAGGTAGCAGAGAATTCTGGGTAATGGAGCACATTAGAATGAACAGTGTACTTCAACTTGCATATATATTCTTTAATGTTACATTTGCTAATAGAGGTAATGCATTGTTTGCATTGGAGACAAATAGAAATCTGGAATATTTTGCTATTATAAGATTATACAGGTTTGGTTAATGTAACAAACAAAAGAGACATGGCCAAATAAATGTGAGAGGATTTGATGTTTTAAGAACTAAACGCATTGAATATTGAACAAAACATTTTTGGAGTATTACAACCTGGAAGTTAAATGGATTTTATTGGGAATTTTATTCAACATTATTAACACTTTGAAGGTGCATAATATGTTTTGTCAAACAAAAGTAAAGAGGGGAAATAATATATATATATATATATATATATATATATATATATATATATATATATACACATTCATTTTAAATTTTTTGTCTTTACCAGATTTGCACTTTGGGATTCTATCATTTTGGCACAATTAATCAAGCAACAGTTAAGCAATTAAACACCTGGTTGGACTGAAGTCTTTTTACAGATTCATAGTCAGATTTAGTATTACGAGTTGGACATACAAGGAATTAACCCCTTAAGGACACATGACATGTGTAACACGTCATGATTCCCTTTTATTCCAGAAGTTTGGTCCTTAAGGGGTTAAACCACTTCAGCGTAGCTTTGGCTGTGTGTTTCAGAGTTATCATTGACCTGTTGGTTGCATTTTTGACTTGCGTACTTTAGGATTCATGCATGTTACCTGAATTATGGTGGGCAGGCTTTTTTTAGACAGATGCACAGTTGTTACATGGTCATTTTATTTATCAATAGATTTAACAACATTCGGTGATGTTCAAAGAAAGATATTTTTTTATTTTTATAACTCGATTGATGCTTCTCCTGAACTTGTTACGACTTGGATTTCATTATTCTATTTAAGATATATTCTCTAACATATTGACTCCATTCAACTAATGAGGTGACTTCTGAAGGCAGTTGGTTACACCAGACCTTATTCAGTGTTATAGAAAGAGGGGAACTGGGGAGAATATTTATGTAACAATTTATATATTTATTCATTGTGTAAAAATAAAATATTTTGCCTCTTAAACGTATTATCAATGCATAAATAAATTAAATGATAAAGTCAATTAGAATCAATTTTAATTCTAGCTGCACCCCTACCAAATATTTAAAGATGCACTCCACACTCCCAAATGCATTTCAGCTTGGTAAAGTGCTTTATAGATAAGGAGTATTCTAGTTTAATCCCAGTTTTTTTTAAAGTGCAGATTTCTATGAGAAATCAGCACTTTTATAGATGAACTAGGGAACACCCCCAGGGTCTCCCGTTAGCTCCCCTAAACTAAAGGAAGTGGCAGACACGCTCTACTTGAGTGTGCCTGCCTTCTCCTATACAGACCTCAGATCAGATGTGTGTATGTGCACAAACCAGCGTACTGTTCAATGAGAAGCCTCAATGAGAAGCTTCTGATTGGTTGACTGAAAGTTTCTTCTGGGAAAATGGGGAGAGCTTGCTTAGGCTGCAGTTCATAAGATCTGCAGCCTTTGCAAACTATTTTTAAGATATGCCCCAATAAATATGCATAATAAGTTCATGCATGCATTTGTTGGGGGTATATCTACTAAATAGCGATTTCCCTTTTTTTTTTTTTTTTTGCCCATTTGGGCAGTGGAGTGTTCCTTTAAGCATTTCCATGAGATGAATAATGCAAAGCATTGCAAATGGTCACTTGGCTTATTTATGACTATGTAAGAGGAGCTGATCCTCGAGACAAATCAGATGATTTGCGTGCTAGAGTATGTGAAGAATATTTCATATTAATGCTTACTTAAAGCATCTTCAGATGTTGTGGACTACATCTCCCATAATGCTTTGCCACCATTATGGCTTTATGGGAGATGTGTTCCCAACGCTCTAGTGCTCTAGTCACCGTTTGGGTGATCAGGCAAGAGATGAAGGATGTATTTTACTTACCTTTTTCCACTCACCACTTTTTCCACTGTCTCCTTGTTCTTTTCATGAGACCATTGAGATGGATGATCTTGTCCAATACAATGCTTTCTCATAGGAAAGCATTTGTAGTCTTGTGTGCATGCGCAGCAAAATGTTGCGATGCTCCAATCAAAGGGTCTTTTTGATTTACAGCTGGAGAGTTTGACTGCAACTGACAGCAGCCAGAGGCAAATTAACCATACAATGCAAATCATACTGTTCCTGTAGAATTTCAATGTTTTGCACTGCATGGTTAAAACGTGGGGCACATGTCACCCTTTCCACTTGATTGAGAGTGGCCGGGGTGCCTATAGTGTTCCTTTAACTAATGTTCTGTTGAGACGCATTTTCAAAAAGTAACTTGTTTTTTCCTGATATTAAAGGCTTACTTCACCCTGCACTGAGATCCTTAGGTCAATATTAAATTCTTATTTGTCGTGGTTTTTAAAATGTGGGACACAAATCTGTGATTTATTATTTTTCTTCTTTTTTTGTCAAAATTCCAAGTCTCTTTGAAATTCCTATATTATATTTGATTCTGTGGCATTACTATAGTATAGGGGCATAAAGAGTATAGTTTTGTATGTTTATTGTTATTTATGTATCCAGCTATAATGCACTTATACAGTTTGAGCAGATTTATAGATGTGCAAGTAGAATGAGGACTGAAAGTTAAAAGCTACTGTTTATAATTATTCACTATTTCAGTTAGTGGTCATTGGATGTATTCACTTTTCTCACAACTCTAATTAGAAACAATATGAATCTCATTGCTTTGGAAACTGGAATCTATGTGTAGAAATGTATTGTATGTTCATTATCTAGTATTTTGCTTTAGGACAGCTAATCGTGAATGTTTAAATTATTTAATAAAATGCACTTGAATATATAGAGAACATAACACATGCTTAGTGTCCGAGACAGGCTGGAAAATTCAGATAAAGGGAAAACATAGACCAGAAACATAACTGATACCCAAATTATCCCAACATAGTCAATATATATTGGCCAGATTTTTGGATAAGAGATATGCGTTCATGAAAGAGGTCTAAAAAAAGAGTACATAGGGATAAGTTTAAAAAAAATCTATAATAAAGTTTCTAAATGTGAAATGATGTCTGGGAATATTTAATTTGTTTCCATTATAATCTCATTACTTTTTGCAAACACATATGTCTATATATACCATAGGATTTACTTTTATACATAACCCAAAACTAATCTGGCCAAAATAAATGGTTGCATCAGTTCTCGGATGTCAAAATGAAAAGGATTAAAGCAATCATAACTTTTTTTATTGGTGAAATCAGAGCAGCAGTAGTGGCTTCTCCTAAAACCAGCCTTCCTCTGCCTGCCCTTTACACAATGTGAGCACATATGATATACTGGTTATGTCTAAACTAACATCCAACAGAGCTACATCTTATGTAGCCAACAAGAACACATGATGTTTCAAGTGTATACAGTACCTATAGTTGAAAGCTGTTGATTAATTGTGGCTGTTACTGTAATAAATTTTACTCTTGTAATATCTGTAGCCTTTGGTACAACCCTTAGTGCCTTACAAAGGTTGTAAACATTTGTAGTCACGGTAGAAATACAATTTTACATAGGAGTCTGTTGTGATGTCAAATTGGGTCCATACAACAGTATAACCATCAGTACCTTAACTTGGCTAGTGTGTTTTAGCACAGTAATGGGTTTAGTTTAGACTCAGGGAATAGTGTGCACATATGGATGAAACAATGTATCTCTGTATTGTACATTTTATAGAAAATATCTACTGTAAAATAATCCACATGTAAATCCTGTACAAATATTTATTGTATGACAATATGCCATAATGTATGTGATCTATGTTTGATTAACCATATCTTTAAACTGTAATGTTTGGTTTCGTGCTAAATGAGTAATTCTTAGACCATGAAATTGACTTTCTGTTGATCAGTTACAAAGTTTACAAATATTTTTGTAATGTGATTAAGATATAAATATATATTAAAGACTTTCTATTCATTTGTAAAATACATAATTTATTGTTCGATTTTAATAAAAAAAATAATTGAGACAATCTTTCGAATCATGTTTTTGCTCCAGCAAATAATTAATATGTATATTTAATATGAATGTGAATATGAAGAATTCTTAATAGCACCGTTTATGCATTTTAACTGTTACACTTTTTTTCTGTAGATTCAGAGCTGTGTCTCCTTTGTTTATATTGTATATTGTCCATTTTGAGGGGGGGCAGCATCATTTGGGGAGCTCCTGGGGAAGCTGTGCATTGAAAAGATAAGTTAGTTTTTTTGTGTGTGTGTTGCTACAACTGACACTTATATGGTGAGGGTGTGGGATATACAACTGCATATTTAATTTGACCTACTTTGCAAAAATCACATGGGCATGAGCTCATAGCATCTCATCAATGAAAGTAAAATAGGTCAGAGGGTACCATATTTAGAAAATAATTCACAGGGGGCAGTCTGAGAATCCTTATCATTGTGCTCTGAATCTCCACGTTCCGTTACCTAATTGTTAGAAACCAATCACATATGAAAGAGATACATGGTAGTACAATAGGTAGATCATATGATGGTTGAAAGCACAATTTTACATTTAGGATAATACGTTTTTATTTATTTATTTTCTTTAGTAGTTTGCAACTAGCGCAGTGCAATGGAGTAGTTAAAATACATTGATGCCATATAAGGTGGTTCGATCTATCTCATCCATCTGTGCAAGACATTATCTGCTTGCTGCAAGTTCAGCTCTTTTTTTCAAGGTGTACTTATGACCTATATTACATTTCCATGCAGGAGAAGTAGGCACCAGGAATGGCCAAAGGTGTTCCGAAGGCGGGTTTGCTAGTAGACATCAAAATAATAATCTGTTAATCAAGACAAAGTAGGCCATATCCAGAGCCGGTGCAAGAATTTTTAGCTACACAGTCGAAGATATGGTTTGAACCCCTCCTCCACCCCCCCAAAAAAAAAGCATCTTCACCTGTGTGTCTCTAACCCCTCTCTTACCCCCTTTGCCCCTTTAGTATATTTTATCCCCCTTTGAGTGTGTCTAACACCCACTTGGGTGCCTCTTACAATAACCCTTGTGACATACAGTCCTAAAAGGCACACAATCAAACATAGTTATACAAGCACACAGTCATACAATATACACATACAGGTACACTGTCATACTAACAGAGACACACAGACACTGACATACAGTCTTACAGAGACATAGATGCAGTCATACAGAGACCTAAAGATGCAGACATACAGTTATGCAAGCATAAAGAGACATACGGACACAATGCAGCAATAGCCACACCTCCCCTGGCTGTGACTAACACAGCCCGCATGAAAACAAAAAGGTTTAATTTTCAATTAGATGTAGCTTACTTTAAAAGTTATTATCTCCTGAACTGTAAATTAAGTGTTAATTACATCCAAGAGGCTCCTGAAGGGTCTAGCAAGCTAATAACAGGGCAGAAGATTAGAAATCTAAACAATTTAAAAAGTTAAACATAATTTGCAATAAGGGAAGTCTAAACATTAGATGATTCTTTAATGAATTGTTTAGGAAGGCTGTATAAGTCACATGCAGGGAGGTGTGCCTAGGGCTGCCTGAGCAAAGTGATTTAACTCCTAAATAGCAGAGAAATGTGCTGTGAGACTGCAAGGGCATAATCTATACACCAAAACTGCTTCATTAAAGTAAACTTGTTTTGGTGACTATAGTATTCCTTTAAAAATGTGTAATCTGGTCTGAACTGGCTTGCAATGTCAATTGTTACATTTTTTTATATGTATTTAAAAGAAAATGCAAGTTATATGAAAAAAAATATTTAACACATTATATATGATTTACAATGTTTTTTTGTTCGGTGGTGTGTGTGTGTGTGTGCGTGTACACATACAGATAGACAGGCAGGCCAACTTCTTACATGTATTATTGCTTTTAGGTGATCTGGAAACATCATGATAAGGAACTATATCTAATGTTAAGTGGTTTATCAATGTCTGTAGAACTCTGAAAATGCATTTATAAAACCACTAACATATTTCCGGGTACTGTAAAATTGCAGAATGTAAACTATGTACACTTACAACTACACATGATGTTTAAATTATGTTTCCTTTTAATTCTTGCCTGTGGGTTTATACTTGCAAGAAGCTTCACAAGCTTACAATCCATTTGTTAGAAAGGAGAAAGTGAATCAAGAAGTTTGTCTCCCTTGCACCTCTTGCATAATATCATTACTGGGAGATGGCTAATTTAAAATGGCAAATATCTAGCAATTCAGCAAGTCAATGTATAAAAGCATGCGGACGTAGTCAACATAGTTACATAGCTGAAAAGAGACTCGCGTCCATCAAGTTCAGTCTTCCTCACATATGCTTTTGCTGTTGATCCAAAAGAAGGCAAAAAAACCCAGTCTGAAGCGCTTCCAATTTTGCAACAAACTAGGAAAACATTCCTTCTTGACCCCAAAATAGCAGTCAGATGTCTCCTTGGATCAAGCAGCTATTGCCCCACTAATTAGAAATGATATCCCTGTATGTTATGTTTTTGCAAGTATTTATCCAATTGCAGTTTAAACATCTGTATAGACTCTGACAAAACCAACATGTTCTCTTATTCTTAAAACAAAACATAAAGTAAGAAATGTGGTCTACGTGACTTTGACCATAGAAACAAATTGTGTAAGATGGTGATTTGAGTATCTGAAAAAACTGCTGATCTTCTGTGATTGTCACGCACAACAGCTTATAGAGTTTACGAATAATGGCAACAAAAACACAAATCATCCGGTGAGTGGCAGTTCTGTGAGTTAAAATAAATTTTTCATGTAAGGAGATCGAGAAGAATGGCTGAACTAGTGAAAGCTGACCTGAAAATGGCCGTAACTGAACTAACCAGTTGTTACAGCAGTGCTAATGTAGGATTTCTGAACGCGTGACACATTGCACCTTGAAGTGGATGGTGTGATGTGTCATTTTGTTTGTGACATCTCTAATGTAAATTGTTTAACTGCACTGTTCTATCTTAAATAGTTAATGTGTTGATTCACTTTAAATCTTGCCATGTAACCTGGAACTGGAAATAGGTCGCAGGTTATAGTTTAGTTGTGAAGGAGAGACTGAGAATAGAGAGATCATGGTTAAGCTCCTGAATCCTCTCTCAGTATTTTATGTCAATATAGCACAGATGGGTTACAGTGCAGAACACCACACAAGGCTTCATTCCTGTCTATCTAGGAGGTGGAGACAGAGGTACAAGAGTACCAAAACTGGACAGCGCAAGGTTGGAAAAAAAATGCTTGTTTTGACAGATATTGATTTCTATTGCAGCATAGAGATGGTAGAGTCAGGATTTGGTGTACATAATATGAATCCATGGATCCACAATGCCTTGTGTAAGGAATGTTTCCTTATCTCAGGCCGCTTAATACCAACTGAGCATCGCTAAAATACTGGCATAAAACTTAATGTGTATAAACACATCAACAAGCATTTCCAGCCAACCAATGACAGTGCTCCTACAGAGCATTCAAGACATGGCAGTCCTTAAATGGACACTATAGGCACCCAGAACACTTCAGCTCATTGAACTGGTTTGGGTGCAGTGATCCAGTCCCCTTAACCCTGCAATGTTCATTATTGCAGTTTGTGATAAACTGTAATAATTACATTGCAGGGTTAAGATTGGTTTTATTGGCTGTCAATCAGACAGCCACTAGAGGCACTTTCTGATTGCTTGTTAACTTTTGGTCGCCTAACGGATGCTGGTTGTCCTCACGTTCTGCGTAAAGACATTTAGCGTCAATAAAATCCACCTAGGAAAGCACTGGTTCAATGCTTTCCTATGGGAAGGGCCTAATGCATTAGCCCCTGCTGTTGGGTGACGTCAGAGGACATGGAGCACCGAAGGGAGTTTGGTGCCGGAATCCGGGAAGTACAGTAAGGTTTATTAACCCTTAAAGTGCTGAAGGGGATAATAGGGGGGTGCTTGAAATGCAACTTTATTTCTAGCTATAGTATCCCTTTAGTAAAAGCTTTTCCTACCTTTAATACTCAATTTGCAATAATTTATCTTTTTTTAAAACAAATTTATTTGTGCAAGTGATTCAGGCAGCTTTTTAAAAAAAATTTAACTTCTGCCCATTGGAGACATAGCCACTAGAGGGCACTTCCTGCTCTATAGCACAGAAAACCTGTGCTAGAGCGTCGCTGGACGTCCTCACGCTGTGTGAGGACCTCCAGCGTTGCTCAATTCCCCATAGGAAAGCATTGAAAAGCATTTTCAATGTTTCCTATGGGGAGCTCTAATGCGCATCTGCGGCATTGCCACGCATGCGCATTAGATCTCCCCGGCCGGTGGGCGGGATCAGTCTCGCCCACCGGCCGAAGTAATAACTGGGAGGAGCAGCGGCGAGCAGAAACATTGGGGGGGTCTCAGGTAAGTAACCTGAAGGGGTTTTCACCCCTGCAGCAACCGGGGATTGGGAGGTGGGAGGGAGAGGGGACCTGCAGTGCCAGGAAAACGGATTGTTTTCCTGGCACTGGAGTTTCCCTTTAATGAAAACCAAAACTTTGGCTTCCCCTTACTATTGAGTCATTTTCTATTCAGTCAATTTAAAATGTAAGGACAAAGATCCCTGTAAATGTAGGTGTGAAATGTTTTTTATATATATCAGGGGTTTAGTTATAGGATTAGGAGACTGCGCCTATCCTGGACTATTTGGAATTACCCTTGGAATTAAGGGGTTTAATCCACTAGAGGCCAGACACTGGCTATCTACTGGCCCACAACATAATTACCCTTCACCTGGCAGCCTATTGAGTGAATAATCGAGTAGGACGCACTGATTGCCCCCACCCCCTCCCTCATTCAGTATAATTAGTGACCCCAAGGGACTTTATTTGGTTTTTATTGTTTATTTGTTTATTTTGATATTATGGAGATGATCACCTCTCTAAATTAGAGATGTTTGTAGTTCC